TGAAAACACAGATTTGTTCCAGTCCAGTTGATACTACATCAGGGAACAGTTGAAGCAGAAGGTGAAGTCTCAGTTTGCTCGTGTGTGATTCCATCCCTGAGAAACGCGAGTTCCAGAAAACTGTGCAATGGAGTTGTGCAGGAACGCACGCGACACCCTTGTGCACACACCTCCCAGCTGCACCAGCGACCTCGTTTCCCGGTGGGGGGTCACACAGGTCCACGGGAAGGGGTCACCGCTCCCCTCTGTTTCCAGACAAGCCTGCTGGCGCTCACTTCCACAGGCAAACCGCGGGCCTGTTCCAAGCTGAAGTGCCATGCTTTCTGCAGCACCTGTGTGTTTCTTAGCCGTGTGCTAAGAAATGTGTTAGGAAATGTTTCTTAACATGTGCCAGTGCATGCTGCTCTTTGTAGTGAGTGAGTCACTGGCAGTCTTTGAGCGTCAGGCCCCTGATTCATGTGGCTGGAGCCCCCGTGGGTGCCGTTGCGGGATTCTGCCTGGCTCGGTGATCTGGAACCTGTGTCCCATGTACGCTGTGTTACAGCAGCACCGACCACCGTGTGCGGGTTTATGTGCAGGATCGGTTCCCAAGCGAAAGGGTTCAGAGTTTCAGGAGCTAAATTCTGAGAGGCTGCTGTTGTGATAGGCTTAAAATTATGTAAGCAGTTTGGCTTTTCGGTTTTCATGAAAAGTGCTGTGATCGAGGTGGAGGGCGCGTGTCAGTGTGATTTGGGAAGAAGTCCAGTGCCCCCCTCATCTCAGATCCCTGTCTGGACGTGTGACGGTCGTCAGGGGGGCTCTTTGCATGAAGCTGTGAGTCCGACGCCTCTGGGAGAAGGGCGCTCGGAAGACCTGGGAGAAGGGGAGCTCAGGCCAGGTGGGCGTGTGGGGCCGCGCCTTTTCTCCAGCGTCTCCACTGTCCCCCAGACCCGAAAGAGGCCTTCCAGCCAAGTCACAAGAAGGGACCGGTTATCAGAATGCCCACCGAGTGCCATCCGGGAAGAAGGGCCTTGCTCAGACCTGAGCCCAAGGCCAGGGCGTTCAGAGCAGAGGAATTAGTGATGACGCTTTCTTTCCTCCAGGACGTGAAGATGAGAGTCAGCAATTGGAGATGAGGGAGAAAATGTAGCAAGTGCACCCAAGTGGTTGTTCGATATTCTACTCTAAAGTCATCAAAATTTTCACACCTGCCACCTATTTCCTTCAAAAGTTCTATTTAAAGACAAAATAATTTGCAATTCACAATTTGTTCTCTGATTTAAGTTAAGTATACAGTTCCCACTTAAGGGCCTGGTTCTGTTAATATCAGCTTTATGTGGCCTTAGCAGCCGGAAGAAGTAAAGGACCATAAAAAATTCTTGAAAATAGAATGATGATAGACGTTTATACTTTTCTTAATGCTATTTTTTCCCACTTTTGTTTGATCAAGAATTGCTTTTGGTGTCATAAAGTAACAGTAGGAACTATTAGAATATTGAAGATACAAATTATGAAAATAAATTAGGCAAAGCACCTTCAAACAAGTTAGTATTTAAAATTTAACAAAGAAGAAAGTCATTTGTTTTGTTAGGTAATTTGAACCTGGCAGGTTTGATCTGGAAACTGGGGTTTAAACTTGTAATTTTCTTGTCACCAGTCATTTAGGAAGCCTTGCCCCATTGTTTTTGGATTGCACAGTTCATTTCTGCGTGTTTTTTTTTTTTTTTCATGAAGATGTTGAAAAAATACCTCATATATTGTCAACTTTTTTTGAAAATAGTAATTATTGATTCAGCTGAGCTGTTCTTCATTTATCATCTACTGAGGCTTTCTTTATTGATATTTCTCTATTACAATTTTGATTTTGTGTTAATATAAATATGCCATAACAAGAAGTAGCCTATTAAAATCTTCACCATAATAGAGATCCAGGCTGCGTGTGTCTGAGGCCTCCGCCCTGTTGTTTGCCTAGAAGAGATCACTTCAGTTGTCTCCCTTCTTTGTGATTATTTGCTGCGGCTGTCTTGCTTTTATTTTTTTAATTATGTTTGGTTGTGCCGGGCTCTTGGCTGCTGCGAGGGCCTTTCTCTGGTTGCGGGGAGCGGGGTTCCCCTTCATGGTGATGCCCAGGCTTCTCCCTGCAGTGGCCTCTCTCGCTACAGAGCCGGCTCTGGGGCTCAGTCCTTGCGGCTCCCGGCTCTGGAGCCCAGGCTTAGTCCTTGCGGCTCCCGGCTCTGGATCTCAGGCTCAGTCCTTGCGGCTCCCGGCTCTGGATCTCAGGCTCAGTCCTTGCGGCTCCCGGCTCTGGAGCCCAGGCTCAGTCCTTGCGGCTCCCGGCTCTGGATCTCAGGCTCAGTCCTTGCGGCTCCCGGCTCTGGATCTCAGGCTCAGTCCTTGCGGCTCCCGGCTCTGGATCTCAGGCTCAGTCCTTGCGGCTCCCGGCTCTGGATCTCAGGCTCAGTCCTTGCGGCTCCCGGCTCTGGAGCCCAGGCTCAGTCGTTGTGGGGCACGGGCTTAGCTGCTCTGCAGTGCGTGGGATCTTCTCCGACCAGGGGTCGAACCTGTGTCTCCTGCATTGGCAGCATGATTCTTTGCTATTGAGCCACCAGGAAAGCCCCTGTCTTGGTTTTGGAAAGATGTCTTGTGTTTTGACTCTCCCAGGTGATCTTAACATTGTCCATCTTACATGTACAAAAATACAACAGAAATTAGATTTTTAAAAAACCTTTATTGAAACATAGAATTATTCATGACCGACTGTTCCTGGTTTTATTCTAAAGGAAGCCTTTTCCTTCTCTGGTTCCATGTGCTAGTCCAGGAGACTAGGGATGGTCTATTTAATGTGATCAGAATTTTTATGACGTTGAAGGGGCAGGGTGTCTCAGGTGCTGTTTGGTTACTTGCTTTGTTCCCTCTGTCTCTCTTTTCCCCAGAGATCATTCTTGCATCCTGGGAGGTGAGGTATAGATGCATGTAACCCTGGGATATGCTTAGGAAAACAATATAAAGTATGTAAGTGGGTGTGCTCAGTCAGGTCCAACTCTTTGTGGCCCTGTGGACTGTAGCCTGCCAGACTCCTCTGTCCATGGAGTTTTCCAGGCCTTGAATACCAGAGCAGGTTGCCATTTCCTTCTCCAGGGGATCTTCCCGACCCAGGGGTGGAACCCACGTCCCCTGTGTCTCCTGCTCTGGCAGGCAGGTTCTTCACCACGGGGACTCCTGGGAAGCTATGGTACAACCTTCCTCTTTAACTTGGAGAAGGAACTTCCTCCTCGGCCTTTGTCTGGGTTTGAGACCTTTTTCATGTCCATCACGGTGCCTTGCTTTTTTTCTGGCTATGCCTCGAGTCTTGACAGATGTTATTTCCGCACCCAGGTATTGAACACTCAGGCCCTCAGCAGTGGAAACGTGGAGTCCTAAGCACTTCTACCACCAGGGAATGTGCTTTTAAATAATAAAAGACGCTTTTTAAAAATGAAACCTGGATGTGTAGCTTTCCTGTTGTTAATAAAATTGCGCATGTTGAGGATCTCTCTGCATCCCAGGCACTGTGCTGGCCCTTCAAACCTCCCCCCCCTCCCCAGCACCCTCTCCAAGGACGTCACCGCTGTGACCCCCTGACTGCTGCAGAGGCGGGTGTTCGTCAGGTCGGGAAATGCCCCGTCACGTGGTTCACGACTGGTGGGCAGAGGTGCCGGCCCACCTGGGCCTCCAGAGCCGACTCTCAGCTGCCTCGAGTTCATTTCCTCACCAGCTGGAGTGAGGACGTTTGCCAACTGATTAACGTAAAAATATTTTTTTAAAAATGGATCATTTCTTTATCAAATAGGTTGTAACTGCTTGCTTATCTCTTCTGATGGCCAAAGATAGTAACAGAGTTTCTTGCTATTCCTACTTCATCCTTAGTTTTAACAAGGGCTGAGCCAAATTTTGTTCCATGCACAAGGCCGACAGTTCTTTCTTGATTTCATTTCCTTGTGATGTGACGTTAGTTCCAGACTGCAGTGCATATCATGCCCAAAGAATGTGTTTTTAAAGATACGTCACTGATTTTACTTCAAAGGTTCCACATGGGAATCTGTTGAATTAACACAATTATGTCTTAGCCGAAGTGGGAAACTTTTCACTTTGATGTTGAGATGTCGCTGGATAGCTCTGTCTTGCCTTTCCCCGTGCCCCCAGCCCCCAGTACACAAATGCACGCGCGCACACAGACTCAGGCCACAGACACCCTCAGGCACGCTCCCCAGAGTGGGCTCACCTTGTGTTCTTGAGATAATCAAATGGTATCATTTAAAAATTTTTCTTGGAAAACTCTTTCCTTATATACGGAATAATGAGTTATTGGGGGGAAAGCTAAAAGTGTTTAAAATTGAGCCAGAGATTTTAAATGGCACATTGGAGAAGGAAACAGGCTCTTTCTGGATATCGTAATTGAGATAATGGCTGTATTTGGTATCTACTAAAGAATTGTGTTTTTCTAGGTTATCTGCCTTCTAAAAATAACATCTCTTACGCAGAGAAAATCAATATCATGTTTTCATTTCAGTTATCTGGGTGTTTGTGTTGAATCAAAATCATGTTCGTTTTTTTTCCCCCCATCACAAGTGTTTTTGAGGGAAAAAAAAATACCTTATGATAAAGTGTGTCCTGTTCTCTAGAAATGAGAGATTTAGTGTAGACGGGGTACTTATTTTCTGAGTTCGGTAAAGTATTACTTTAGCTTGTGTTTCTAAGCGGCTATAACCGAATTCCCGCGTTTACCCCGGCCCTGGCGGCCCCTTCTGCTACGTCTTTAAGAGAGTCATACGGCGGACTCACTTCGCCAAACGGCAGAACCTAACACACCATCGTAAAGCAACTATCCCTCAATAAAAAATTTGAAAAAAAAAACCTTTTAGTCTTTGTTACGGTATCGCTAAACGATAGGGGTGCCCAGACGGCTGCAGAAGAGCTTGTATCTCGTCGAGGGGCCCCGTTTTCTCTCTCGGTGACTCTCTCCCTCTTTTCTCCTGATGAAGCAAATGAAGAAACACCCGTGCCGCCAGTGCGAAAAGTCCTTCAGCTCGTCCCACAGCCTCTGCCGCCACAACCGGATCAAGCACAAAGGCATCAGGAAAGTTTACACCTGCTCGTAAGTCGTGGCTCTGCCGTGGGCGGCCCCGCGCCCGCAGGCGTCTCCCCGCTTCCCTGTTAGCTCCCCGCCTCCCTGTTCGCCCTCCGCTCCCCGGGGTGGGTCTCCTCTGTTCATATTTTGTTTTGGCAGGCTGCTCTTGCCTGGCTTGTGGCGCTTTAGCAATATGAAAATGCCCACCCTTTGTATGTTCTTATCTGTTCCCTGTGCTTTTCTTTCTTTTTGCCGAGCGGCTTGCGGCCAGGGTCTTGGCTCCCCGAGCAGGGACTGAACCTGGGCCGTGTCCGGAAAAGCGCGGAGTCCCAGCCCCTGGCCCGCCAGGGAAGTCCCACCTGTGTTCCTCTCTGTTAAGCGGAGGTTTGTGGTTTCATCACTGAGAATTCTGGCGAACTGACTCGCAGGCAGGTAGGGACACAGCCGAAGGAGGGGCCCTGCGGTCCCCTACACACAGCTGAGCTGCCGGTTGGGCTGGTCCGTGTACTTGGGTTCAGACGCGGCTGGTCGTGGGGTCAGCCCTGGGCGGGACGTCTGCCCCTGGGTACGGCGCGGCGTCCTTCGCGCCCACACATGCTGTTGGTGAAGGACCAGAGGAGCCGAGGGGGCCAGCCCACCCAGGGGACCACCCGTGGCGCCCCCTCTGGGTATATAAAGGCAGAAGTTGTTAGGTTGTTATTAGTGAGAAAGCTCTTCCACCCACTCAGTCAGAGCAGGCCTGAAGTGAGGTGGTGTGACAGGGTTACTTACTTCAAGGCACTTTTCATAAAAGAACACGAAGCGGCATGGAAGCCGCGTGGCAAGCATGTGGCTGGGATGGACGCAGGGGTCCATGTCCGTGTGGCTTGGGGGACTTGGGGAGGTTGACTGCCAGATCGCTGCGCTTCGCAGTGTTGTGGTGAGTCAGGGAAAGTCTCTGGGGTAGGAAAACAGGGCCCCTCCTTCGGTGAACCTGAAGCCGGGAGTGATTTTGGTGCGATGAGAACATTCTCTAAGTACAGTCTGTGCTGACTCTGCGTTGATGGAGTCATTGAATTTGGGAGGGGAACCCTGCTGAGAGAATGGGAAGGAAGGCTGCTGTGGATGGCAGAGTCCTTCCTCTGAGAGGGTGGTTCATGTCCCCGTGGAGCCCTGGAAGGCAGTAAAATGCTGGGATTGCCCAGCTCGTTCCGTTTGTTCTCTGGTATGGGTGCTGGCTCCCGGTGCTGTCCTGTGGAGGATCTCTAACGTGAAATCATCAGAGCTGGGAGCCAGTCTTTCTTGTGAGATTTTTCAGAAGCTTTTCTGAAGACAGCGAACTTGGTTCTACGTAAGTTGTGAGGATCTTTCTATCTCCCTTCACTGCAGTGGTTATTCATAATGTGTGGCTGAAGAGTGACCATAATTGCCATGGTCATTAATTTCTGTTTCCCTGGTTTTGGTCTGTTTAAGAAAATGATAAATTCATATCTTCCCAAAGAAAAGCTGTAATCGTAATTTATAGTGGGAAATTGCACAAGCTGAAATGGAAACTGAAATCATTGACCTATTTTGGATATTTGTTCAGTTTTCTACCTTTTAATCGACAGATTGAACACATGTATTTGTGCACTGTGGTCCTAACCATGCATATTATTGCATTTGTGCTTTGATGAGAAAGTTGACGGGGGAGACAAGTCTGTCTTGTCTGCGTTGTGGCAGAGTGAGCGGGAATCTTGTTAACACCGGCGTGAAGAAGTCAGGCAGGGACTTGCTTCCTGTTAAAGCATCTCATGACGTAAATTCCGAGGGAACTCTGAGTCACTGGAAGGAAAACTCTTGAGATTTAGTGTTCTCCATGTTAAAATCACAGCCATCTAGATTTACAAATTAAGTCATACTTTAACCAAACTCAGAAAATAAATGCCCTGTCTGAACCAAATTGGGCTGGGGCTATAAGAACACAAGAACTGATAGAAAAAAAACCTTTTCCTTCTTTTTTTTTTTTTTTAACACCAAAACCAATTTGTATATGGGTATAACTGATTAACTGTGTTACGGTAGTTTCAGGTGAGCAGCAGAGGGACTCAGCCACCCATCCATGTGTCCATTCTCCCCCAAACCCCACTCCCATCCAGGCCGCCATCCGGCATTGTGCAGCGTTCCCTGGGCTGTACAGTGCATCCTTGTTGGTTATCCATTTTAAATACAGCAGTGTGTATATAACCTTCCCCAGGCCTCTTAACTGTTCCTTTCCACCCACTCCTTCCCCACAACCACAAGTTCATTTATGATAGAAAATTTTTAACAAAAGCTGCAGCACTTTAAAAAATTTTTTTTTTTCATTTACACTGGAGATGATCAAAGCAACACCACTCTTTCGCTTTTGACCATTGGTATCTGCAAGACCACCCTGGCCTCTCTGGCCGACTGAGGGCTTCGGTAGTCAGCACGTTCCTCACTGAGCCCTTTCATGGCAAGTAGGTTATTTCCTTGTCTTTCCTCCACAGGCACTGTCCAGACTCCAGGCGTACCTTCACGAAACGGTTGATGCTGGAGAAACACATACAGCTCATGCACGGCATTAAGGATCCTGACTTGAAAGAAATGACAGAAGCCACCAATGAGGAGGAGACAGAAATAAAAGAAGACACCAAGGTTAAACATTGCAGGTGTTCTCTTTACAGTGACGTTGTGTTGACTTGCTTTCTCCTTTGTGTGTGTGTGTGTGTGTTAAAAATTTTCTGTGGTTATATGATTTAAAAAATTCAGCCTGTGCACAAAGCTGTCAAGTAACAGGAACATTCTCTCTGCACTCAGCCTGAGTTTTCATCTTGCTCTTAAATGTAACTTTTTTTTTGGGTAAGGTAACTTGATGACACTAGTGATAAAGAACCCATCTGCCGATGCAGGAGACCCAGGATTCGATCCCTGGGTCGGGAAGATCCCCTGGAGGAGGGCATGGCAACCCACTCCAGCATTCTTGCTTAGAGAATCCCATGGACAGAGGAGCCTGGTGGGCTACTGTCCATAGGGTCACAAAGAGTTAGACATGACTGAAGTGACTTCACACACAACCTTTATTAAATTTCTTCTATATCCTTCCAGATACAGCTTTAGGGATCAATCTGAAAGTGAAAAGTGAAAGTGAAAATCACTCAGTTGTGTCTGACTCTTTGTGACCCCATGGACTATACAGTTCATGGAATTCTCTAGGCCAGAATACTGGAATGGGTAACCTTTCCCTTCTCCAGGGGATCATCCCAACCCAGGGATTGAACCCAGTCTCCCTCATTGCAGGTGGATTCTTTACCAGCTGAGCCACCAGGAAAGCCCAAGAATATGGAGTGGGCAGCCTATCCCTTCTCCAGTGGATTTTTCCGACCCAGGAATAGAACCAGGGTCTCCTGCATTGCAGGCGTATTCTTTACCAGCTGAGCTACCGGGGAAGTTAGGGATCAGTCTACTTACATAATAAAAATTAAAGTTTTACGTTGACGCATGGAAGTTGTCTTAGCCAGGGAATTATTTGAATCTAGATTCCTTTGCATTGCTGATGTATTGGTTGTGAGAGGTACCTAATCAAAATTGATTCCATTTAGCTTCTGTTTGTAATGATGAAGGGTTAAGATAAAAAATTCATGCTGTATCAGTGGACAGTGAACTTGAAGTGGGCAACAGCACAGGTGTTAGCCTGTGTGTAAAGCGCGTGTGCTAAGTGCTATTGGAGTACGGCAGTAGCTGAGCAGACATTTCAGAGACCCATGCTGTCTTTGGCACTGCACTGCGTCTGGAATGTTCCCTGGGGAAAAGCCCGTGTGTGTGCTTTCAAGGAGTTAGTCATTGAAATCAGAGTAAAAGTCAGACTAGTGTCGCATTAAATTGTAATCCTTCCCTTCAAGTGATGGGGTGGGGGGTGGAATTAAAGAATGTACATGCAGGGGGCAGCTTTAGGTCAAGGTGGAAAAACCGGATAGTCATGGAGAAGGTGTCCATTGGCTTGGGATTCTAGAGAGCTGGAAGGGAGGGATTTGAGGGGTCCAGGGGAGGAGGAGGCTGAGTGGGCAGGAAAGGGCCCTCACTGTCCCCAGTGAAGCGCAGGTGGCCCTTCCTCTGGCCTTCAGGAAGGGTGCAGGTCTGGACACTCTCTGCCAGGAGATGCTCAGCCCGCCTGCCCCCGCCTCTCCCTGGCCGCATCCACGCCTTCCCCCGGCCTGAGCCGCAGCCGCATTGCCTCCCTCCCATCCCCAGCTACAGCGGGCTGCTCCCAGTGGGACCCGTTTCCTGGTGTGACCTCCCAGCTCGGGCTGTCGAGTGAAGCTCGGCTGGCTCCCTCATCGCTGTTTGTCGCTGCATCCCCCGAGGGCGGGGGCCTGTTTGTCCTGCTCAGCCCCTGCAGGGCGCCCGTTCAGCCTGGCGCTGAGCCCGCCTTGGCGGGGCAGAGGGAAAGGGCGACCCTCGGGCGGGGCGGGGCGGGGGCCACACGGCCGTAAGGAGCCTACACCCCAGCTCCCGGCGCCCACCAGCGGTTGTCCGTGCATCACCGGTCTGTCTTCCTCTCCCAGGCTCCCAGTCCCAAGCGGAAGCTGGAGGAGCCCGTGTTAGAGTTCCGCCCCCCGCGAGGGGCCATCACGCAGCCCCTGAAGAAGCTGAAGATCAACGTGTTCAAGGTGCACAAGTGCGCCGTGTGCGGCTTCACCACCGAGAACCTGCTGCAGTTCCACGAGCACATCCCGCAGCACAAGTCGGACGGCTCCTCGCAGCAGTGCCGCGAGTGCGGCCTGTGCTACACGTCGCACGTGTCGCTGTCGCGGCACCTCTTCATCGTCCACAAGCTGAAGGAGCCGCAGCCGGCGGCCAAGCAGAACGGGGCGGGCGAGGAGAGCCGGCCGGAGAGCCAGCCGGGGCCCGAGGACACGCCGGCCGACGGCCCCGTGCCGGACCGAACGTGCAGAGTGTGCGCGAAGACGTTCGAGACGGAAGCTGCCTTAAACGCTCACATGCGGACCCACGGCATGGCCTTCATCAAATCCAAAAGAGTGAGCTCGGCGGAGAAATAGCCGCCCCACCTGCACCCCCTACACCGGCCCACATTGGAAGCAAAGAGACGTTTTTGCTACGCCGCAGTATCACAGTTAACAGTACTGTCCAGGCTGTTGCAATATATCTCCCTCCTCCCCTTGGCCGCCGCCTCCTGTCTGTCCTCCCTTCCTCCTCCCATAAGTATTAAAAACAGTATTTGAGTTGAAAAGAGTTTGTATATATTTAAACGAATAACATTTTATACTCTTTGTTACATGTTTGTATCAGTATTTAGTGGACAATGTTTTGAGGATTTTGTTTGTTTCGTTCTTGGGTTGTCTTTTTTTTTTAATATGTATATATATATTTGTTTTTTATTTGGGTTAGTTTTTCTTTTTTGTACGGTTTCTTCAAAACAGAGTTCTCAGCAACAGGGGCAGTTCCTGAATTCCAATAAACCATTTTGTACGTCACGGTTTTGAATGGGTTAACTAATTACAGGCTCCGACAGGGCCTTTTTTAGTGTTTTTAATTTTTAGAATTCACTACATAAATCGTAGGTGACTGTAGGTCTCAAAAACACTAGGGACTTTTAAGTGTCTTAGCACTCTATCCTCAACGTGCCTGCTCCGCTAGGGCCACGCTTGCCCGTGGCCTCTCCTCCCGGCCCGGCGTGTTGGAAGCCGCCTTGCAGGGCGCTTCCCTCCCAGCGAGGGGGTGGCAGCGGGGGCCAGACATGCAGGAAGGAAAGACGTGGATGGATTCCATCTCAGAGTGGGGAAGAAAGCTCTCTCTCCTAAAGGGGAAGAGCAAGCGGGAAGCTTCCTGGGCCGATTTTCAAGGCTGGCTTCTAAAAGAGCACAAGGAGCTGAAGTGGAGAAAGGGCTGGAGACTGTAAAAGTTACAAACACGTTAGACCAGTAGGTTTATATAGTCAGCGTTTTTGTCGTGTAATTTATTAACTATTAATGACACAACTACAAATATCAAGTATTTCTCTGGCTCTTGACAGGAAAAGGAAAAAAAAATCACAGTCGACTTAACCCTTTGCTGTCTAAAGAGTTGGCGTTTCCTGTTCTGGGTGCTACTGCCAAAGGTCCCGGTACTTAGACTTGGGATGCACAATTTCCACCTTCCCGATGCAGCAGCCGGCGTGTGGCCATCGGCCGTTCCCTCCGCACTGAGCCACCCAAGTTGAGTTCAGCCATTTCAATAAGTACCTTTACTATTGGGTAGTTCAGCTTTCTTAATGCAGCCAAGGTACTCCTCTGTCCCTTCCAAATGTTTATAGTTCTCTGGGAGAGTTATATTTTTTTGGTTTTGTGTTTTCGTGTTTTCTTTTGCATTTTATATCTTGTATTTATCCCTAAACATGTTTTGTACTTTTTTTTTTAAAAAGAAAAATTATTTTGTGTATATAGAGATATACTTGCATGATATACTGTAGTCAGTGTTGGGTTCCTCGAGAGGTCTTGCTGCTGTCAGATGTCACGCACTAACCACACCCATCCTAACTGTATTAAACACATTTCACGTATGTAAATAAACCTGGGACGTTTGGCCCTCGTGCTTTCGTGAGAGCGTTCTTGATGGTGGGTCTCTGACATCTTCGTGGAGTTTAGGGAGTGAGTCACTGCAGGGATGGGCTGTGGGGGTATTGCAGCATTCTTGCCGCTAATAAGGGCAGCATATTCATTCTCAGTGGCAATCAGCTATTTTTGTCCCTTTTGTATCGACTCCCATCAGTATGTGGGTATACTCAAGGGTGTGGTTCAGTACTCCTCAACTTGAAACTCATTGCTGTTACTTGTTATGTTTATACTTGTATTGCTCTTACATTGTATTCATAGCACTTTTCGTTTATTTCTGTATTTGAACCTTGCAATAAGCCTGTGTGGTGGGCTGCACAGGTCCTAATAGCCTAGTTTTACAGTCGAGGAAGCTGAGCTCAGATTTAAGTTCTTGGCCTGAGCCCTCGTAGCTGGCAAGTGGCTTTGCATATTAGAACCCAGATATTCTTGCTCTAAATCTAGTGCTCGCTCTGTTTATGTACATATCGACAGATACTCCTTTATTCAACAAATAAAAAGTATTTGCAAAACACAATACTAGAATTTTTGTTTGTGGCGCTATGGCTTTTATAACCTGGGAGTCTTAGCTACTCAAGTACCCAAACATGCTTGGTAATACAAAATTAGCATCTACTAAAGGCCTAGTTGAGCATTGAAGAAAGCTTTTTTTTTAAATGCCTGGAGGTCCCACAATGAAGAAACTGAAATCCAGAGTAGAAAAGCAGCACCCAGGGTCTCCCCGGTGGCTCCGTGGTCAACAGCACCTGCCAGGGTGGGGGACATGGGTTCAACCCCTGGTTGGGGAGACCCCGCGTGCTGTGGGGCGTCTGAGCCCGTGTGCCACACCCCGCTGGTCCGGGAGACCCCGCGTGCTGTGGGGCGTCTGAGCCCGTGTGCCACACCCCCCTGGTCCGGGAGACCCCGCGTGCTGCGGGGCGTCTGAGCCTGTGAGCCACACCCCCCTGGTCCGGGAGACCCCGCGTGCTGCGGGGCGTCTGAGCCCGTGAGCCACACCCCCCTGGTCCGGGAGACCCCGCGTGCTGTGGGGCGTCTGAGCCCGTGAGCCACAGCCCCCTGGTCCGGGAGACCCCGCGTGCTGCGGGGCGTCTGAGCCGCAGCTGCGAAGCCCGGTGCCCTAGGGCCCATTCTCTGCACCAAGAGAAGCCCTCACACTGCAACTGGAGAAAAGCCTGTGCCGCAATGAAGACAGCCAAAGATAAAATTATTAAAAAAAAAAAAAGAAAAACAGCACCCAATGCCCTAGCCCTGGGAGGAAGCCTGGATGGTTCGACTGAAGAGGGAATTGATGAGCTGGAAGACAGATTGTGAAGAAACCCCCGAGAGCGCAGCACAGAGGTAGGGAGATGAAATAGGTGGAAGAGGCAGCAGTTCGGAAAGATGACAGAAGCAAGTTTAATGGGCTTCCCTGGGGGCTCAGCAGCAGAGAATCTCGCTGCTAGTGCAGGAGACGTGGGTTCCATCCCTGGGTTGAGAAGATCTCCTGGAGGAGTAAATAGCAACCCACTCCACTATTCTTGCCTGGGAAATCCCATGGACAGAGGAGCCTAGTGGGCTACAGTCCATGGGGTCACAAAAAGTCAGAGATGACATGATAGACTAAACAACAATGAGTTTAATAGTTCCAGAAAGGGGGAATAGAGTTGGGGAGAGCCAATACGGGAAATTCTTGTTTACTTGCTAAGTTGTGCCCGACTCTTTTGTGACCCCATGGACTAATAGCCTGCCAGGCTCTGTCTACAGAATTCTCCAGGCAAGAATACTGGAGTGGTTTGCCATTTCCATATCCAATAGAAAATTTCTAGCTATTAGCGGAAGACACGAATATTTGGATTAACAGGGTGGATGCTGAGCAAAAAAATCCTCACTGGGGTTTGTGAATTCTGCCCATTTTTTATTAGTTGTAGGTGCTGGCTGTGGTGATGAGCGTGAGCATTTGAGAAATGACATAGACCAAGGGGCAGAAAACTGGGGCATATTTCATGAATTTTTAGGAATCCCACTTCCTTGTTGGTGGGGAAAGGAGGTGAGGCTGACAGAATGGGCTGGGTTCCAAGTTGTAAAAAGCCTTGAATGACGATCCAGGGCGTTTGTACTCTGAATGAGTTATTGGACAGGGGAGTGATCACAACTGGTGGCAGTGCCTAGGATGGATTGTGGGAGAATGTATCAAGCAGTATTAAGTTAGGGTGTGCTGTGGTCATAACCTTTCATCGTAATGACTTACAACAAGACATTTCTTGCCCAGATGTTGCTCCAAGGCTCCACTTAGAAAAAAAGCTGCTAGGTGTTGTGGCATAACGTGAGTGCAGCTGGATGCTCGGGCCCAGAATGACAGATGCCCGTCTCCACAACTCACCGACCAAAGCCAGTCACACCGTCCCGCCTCACTAACTTCAAGGAGGCAGAGAAATGCGGTTCCACCTCGTGCCCAGAAGGAAGACTGAAAATATTGGCACAGCCTCAGTGACCATCCCGGGAACAGAGTTTAAATTGATGTAGCTACGGTGCTAACAGTGGATTTGGGGACTCAGCTCAGGGTAGAGGAAGGAGGCTGCAGTCGTAGGTAGCATTTCAGAAGGAGGACAAAGATAAATTCCATGCTGCTGGTTACAGAGAAGAGATGTCTGAAAGTTCAGACCTAAGGGGTTTTTTTAATGAACAGAAAAGAAACAGATTTACTTCAAGGTGTGAACTACTTAAATAGAAAGATAGACGTCAAAACGAAGAGCTGTTTATAGGGAAGGGGAACTTGAACATTAGATAGCCATTAAAGGTTAGTTTTTGTTTGAATGAATGTGTGTGTTTGAGTGAGTTTTATCAATAATTGAGTAACAGTAATACATAAAGAAGAATGCCAGCAAGGTGGTAAAACATAAAATGAAGCAAAGGATGATGTAGGTTTAGCATCCATGGCATAGACAACTGCTTCCTGCCAAACACATTTTCTTCAAATTCCTTAGTCCTGCTGCAGTACAGATTCCAAAGTACAACTGGTCTACCCCAAAGCTGATGGGTGTCTCTCTGGCGTCAGTGGGCTAGTGAGTTCCATCCCAGGATCTTTGACCAGTGGAAATTTCCTATTGAAAACTTTGGCTGACCATCCAACTTTAAAAGAAAAAAATGACCACATTGCAATCGGGCTTACATGTGGCATGCTTTTCTCATTCCAACTTTATAAATTAGCAAAAGATGTTTTTTGTTTGCTTATTCCACCAGTTCTACTGTGACATACTCTGCATATAAAGACATGTAGCAATAATGGGGGGGGGGTAATCTCACAGTGCCTTTGGAAGGGCCAGAACTTGCCTTAAATTTTTCTCAACCAAATAAGTATTTTGTCTATTAGTGCTTGAGAGAATCTGAATGTAGGATGGGTTCAACTGCACAAAAGGAGAAGATTTTTACCACTTTTTTTTATATAGATATAAAGTGAAGAGGCCACCTCT